TCTTGCAGAAAAAATATCCCTGGCTAATGTTCAAGGTACATTTGTGGGACTAAACACCAAAAAGCTTGCCAGCATAAATTGAATTCATAAATTAGGTTCAACCCCAGTTGAACCTAATACCAAAGGACAGACAGAAGAGAAGAGCAAATTCTACTTTAATAGGAGACATCAGGTGGAAGATACACAGGTATATCCAGGTACACATCTGTTCTGCTTATATGACTGTTAATCACACACTGCCTGGGGATATTGTTTATATGGTATCTTGTGTTGTCACACAGCTTTGTATGTGAACTTGCCTTGAATCCTCTACTACATTTTAAGCTCTGAAGGAAAGTACTGACAATGTTTAATGCTCTTTAAAATTCTTGACAATGTCAGTCACGGTACTTCATATGTAGTAGATTCTCAATAAATGCTTAGTGAATAGAGGGAAAAATCAAATGAAAAGTCAAATAATATACAATGACAGAGGTCATTTGTGGACATCGATCCACACTTTGTTTAGGAAAAAAGCCATCAGCATATGAAATTATATTTAATAACTCACTTTGATAGTGATGAGATTACCTTGTTAGAAACCCTCTAATTCTGTATGATGAGAACCTTGAGATTTTTTTTTTTTTTTATGGAGCCGGAGATCCTCCCTAATACCACACAATAATTTTTCCTTTTCTGATAATATATACTACATTCTCTGAGTCTCTTCCAAAATACAGGCTATATATCTGCCACATGTAGAAAAACATGCGTTATTTACCAATTTCCTCTTTTAAAGTTTTCTCTATATATAGAAGTCATGTATACCTGACTTGTGAGTTTCTACAAAAGCCTCAGACTAGGAAAATTTTTGCCCCAGGGTAGTAAGGTGCAAAGCATTGTGATGAAAATGTGTTGTGGCCCCTAATTCCTGTTCTGGGAGAAGAAATTTTAAAGATGATCAAAAGACTTCCCCACTCGATAAAATCCCATAGTGCTGTCCACAGACACAGTACAAAGAATAGCCAATCTTCTTTCATCATTCTCATCATCAAGGAGCCATGCTAGTTTCAGAGTTCAGTCCCTGACAATTAGAGAACGCGCTCTCCTGTAGGAGGACATCACAATGTAGGTTATTGTAATGATGTTGACTTGAACAGCTTTTGATGCAACAGTAATTTGGTACTACATTTTAGAGAAAAAAATATATATTCCTGGAAAATGTCTACCTCATTGCGATTTTGAAAATTAAATGAAATAACCTGAATTTAGTTCATAAAAGGGAGCCAGCTCCTAAAACATCCTGGTGAAGGAGATATGGATAAGATGGGTCAGAGTGTATTTTCGATAACTTTAAATAATATAAACTCATAAAATTTTAAAGCTAGAAAACTTTTAGAGATAATTTAGTTCAATGGTTTCCAAGCCTGGCTGATTGAATAAATTACCCTGGGCTTACTGAATCAGAATGTTCAGGGGTAGGGTCCAGGAATACATATCAATTTTTAAGTCCTTAAATGCATTAGAGATCATCCAGATAGATAAAGAAATTAAGAAATCAAATGTTTTGATTAAGAAATCAAAAAGTTGCATATTCTGTCAACAGCAAAAGCAGTTCTAGAACCTAAGTGGCAAAGTCTCAGAATTGAAAAATATTTCAGCAAGTCATCCTACCGTAACTCTCCAAGAGTGGTTCTTAGAGTATAAAAGATTTTGCAAGAGAACTCAGATTTTAGCCTCTACCCAAAGACGTTCTCAAATGCTAAGTCTGAGGTAGAGCCCAGAAATATACATTTTCAATGAAATTCTAGTTGATTCTGAAGGAGACGGAATACAGGGCACAGTTTAGGGAATTCTGCCTATCAGTTGTTTGATTCCCTTTTACAATGCTCCTCGCTTTTGCTTAAACTTTATGTGACATTTAAAATCTTTCCTTTTTTGTAGGTCTGTTAGGAACAGTCTTATATTTTCTTCCCTGATACCTGACTATGAAAGTCTCCCCATAGGATTTAATTCCGCCTTCCTGGGCTATACTAAAAGCTTGCTACCAATGCAGCATGTTACCTTGTTGAGCATTTATAACCCTTCCAAGACTGTTTTCTCCAGAGGGGGCTGGGAGAAAATGAAGATTAAAAATCCCTCTAGTGCAGCTCTCTCTCCTCTCACTTTGTGACTTCTGTCACTTATGGCCCAAACCCCAAACCCCTCTACCACTAAAAAAAAAAAAAAAAAAAGACACCAGACTTGGCTGAACAAATGTACAAATGCTTCCTCAACAGCAGCTTATCTTTCTGCTGGACAGCCTTCCTGCTAGGCTATCTTCTACTAGGAGACAGTGTGGCGATGTGGATTCATGGCACAGGTTCTGCAATTAGTCAGGCATGGATTTGTTGCATCCCTGTTCTTATCTACATGGATGTTATTTATTTAACTTGTCTGCTCCCAAGTTTTATCAGCTAAAATATCAGTACATATGAGGTACTGTGCTCGGCATTTAAAATCACTGACTGAAGCAGCATCTTACCTTCTTATGGCTTACAGCCATAAGCCTTATGCAAGCAGCTGGGTCTGGTTCTTAAACCAGAAGAGCCCTGCTGCACGGAAACAGAGCCCAACCTGTTTTTCAACAATTACTTTTTTTCAGCCACAGTCATTCCCTTGGACTAAGTCAAACACAGAGCAGCTTCCTTACCCCCTACCACAGGCCCTGTCCACCAGGGCCTTCCCAGCATGAAGGGTGACAACACAGCTCAAGTTGGCACCCCTGGAAAAGTGAGTCTAAGATGATCAGGTCTCTAGATGTCTTGTTGCTCATGCCTCTTTTCTCTACTCCATCTTAACTGATGCATCTGTGTTGCTCCCTGTCTCTGCTAAATAGTTTCTCTTTGTTCGCTGCCTTTCCAAACTAGCTCCCTCCTCTCTGTTTGTTGTTTGTCTAGAACAAAGTGTTTTCTTCCATAAAAAGGATAGAAGCAGACACACATCTCAGGGACTACAGAGACGGGGGACTTATTTAAAGTTGAAAATCATTCAAGGGCACGTGCAAAAATGCCCTGAAGTGTGGAGGGAAAACCAGAAGTGAGATTAATTTTTCTAAAGAGTTTGAAGGTATTTGAGGGCACAGGTTCAGAATAAAGAAGGGAACAAAGGAATTTAGACAAGCAAGAAGCTCTGAAGACTCAGAATGAAAAAGACCCCAAAGATACCAGACGTGGCTGAACGAACGTGCAAATGCTTCCTCAACAGCAGCTTATCCTTCTGCTGGGCAGCCTCTCTGCTAGCCTCTCTTCTACTAGGAGACAGTGGAGTGATGTGGGTTCATAGTACAGGCCCTGCAATTACTCAGGCATGGACTTGTTCTACCCCTATTCTTACCTAGAAGGATGCTATTTACTTGTCTGCTCCTATTGGCGAATGAGAATAATGCCCACTTCTATTAGCATGGACAAGGTTCATGCTAGGTTGTATGGTTACAATCCCAAAAGCTCTGGGGCTGCACCCTACAAGTGTGTTTCTTGCTCAAGCTGCGTGTCCCAGTTGACGGCGGGTGCAACCATTCACAATCACTTTCCATTCTTTCATCCAGAAGGACCAGGGCTTCTGTAGAGGAGGGGAGAGCCTGGAGGACCATGCGATGCTTGAAGTGAAGTTTGTCCCTTCTGTAAATGTGTCATTGGCCAAAATTGGCTTGTGAGCCTGTAACCTTTTTCCACCACGGGGCTCGCAAGTATAGGTTTCTTTGTGCCTGGAAAAACCAGATAATGAGACATGGACAAACAGTAACATTTACCACTTGGATGCATAAGGTTGTTTTGAGGATTAGTGATAAAATACCTGTAATGCGGTCAGTGCAGTGCCTGGCCTGGCATGAAAAATGTGTTCAAAAACAGCGGTTGTTATTACCCAATACCTCTGTCACCAACATTGGCCCTTGTCCATTGAGTTACTCAGATCTCATTATTCACTAACATACATGGAACACCTCATCCAGAGTTGGAACACATCCCCAAGAGTATTGCATTCTATGATCTGTCATTCTGTAGAAGAAAAAACACTAGAGGACAAGAAACAAGAGTCACAGACGCCAACCTTTACAGCTTAGAGCCTTGTGACACTTGGCAAGTCACTGAAGGCACCTGGGCCAGTGTAAAAGGGCTCACTGCTTAAGGGAGAGAAATGCAGTGAGGCAGAAAAGTAGTCATGTGAATCCAGTTTCAACCCTGCAATTTGTTGAAAGTATTAGGTTGGTGCAAAAGTAATTGCGGTTTTCAATAGCACCTTGGAAAAGTCATCTCATCTCCTGTAATTTGGTTTTCTCATACAAGTGGTTTAGGTCAGATTACCTAAAGCTCCATAAGCTAAAAATGTTAATTATTACAAATAATGCCTGTTCAAAAATGACCCTCTATTCATTGAGAATTGGAGTTGTCAATTACCTATCCAACCCTATTGCCCCAGGCCCTAGCCTCTATGTAGTTAAGCCATCCTAGAACCTTGGATAATTTAATTCATGTCATACTGGATGAGAAGCAGTAAGACAGGAACCAAAGCGACTTCTAGGTGCTTCAGCAAGGAGAATGTATTAGGGTTACACAAGGCACATTATGAGTTCCCTCTATGCTCCTCAACACAGGCAATTTTAGCTCACCCCCAATCAAAAAAGTATTTCTCCTCTTTAATAAAATTAATATAATCTCTCAGGCTATCAGAGGGCAGCAGAAAAATGAAGAGAGGGAGAGAGCCTTTAAATCAGAGTTCAGAGATGAGCAAATTAAACACCAATAAAGGGAAGTAAACTATCTCTTCATGTGCAGACAGAATAGAGTCCCCAAAGATGTCCACATTTCATGTGTGAATCCCCAGAACATGTGAAACTGTTGTTAAAGGGAGGAGAATTAAGGCTGTTGACAAAATTGAGGTTGATGCTTATTCTAACATAAAGATACTGTCTTGGATTATCCAGTTGGGCCCAATTTAATCAAACAGGTTTTTGGTTTTTTTTTGTTGTCGTTGTTTCAAAGTTATAATGCATGGTTTAAAAGAGAGGAAAGGAAAAAAAGAGACAACGCTGGTTACAGGTCTGAGGGAGTCTAATGAGAGAAAAATACGAGAGTAAAGGGGGACAAATTGAGGGAAAAACCAGTGGCTCAAAATCCCGGTATCCCACCCACAGCCCAGCCCTTGGAGCAGGAGTGAAAAATTAGATCAGTTTTGTACAAGAGTTTAAAAAAAAAAAAATCAAGTCACAACAAAGCTGACATGTCTTCTCTTTGAGCCTCCTGGATCACCGTATGTCTGTCACTCTGGCCAGTCCTGCCTCTCCACCACAAACACTGTTTCAGCTCTCCTAGGCCTCCTTGTGTCCCAGTCTGGGGTTTCCATGGAGTGTGGACACGAAGTTAGAGTGAGGCTGCTTCAGAGCTCCGGGCCCATGTGTCCATCCAGACTCCAAGTGGAGTGTAGGGCTCCCAAGGGCAGCGAGGGGTGGGACGGGCAGACCCTGCCCAGGCAGTCCTCACACTGGACAGGGCATCAGATGGCATCCCAAGGGCTCGCCCTCCCTTTTGCCCCCACCCCAACTCAGGTGGAGGGGGAGCAGCTGTCACCAGAGCCTGTGTTGGTGAAGGTTTCGGCTCAGGACGGAGCTGACATCAGCAGTGAACCTGAAGGCATCCAGCATCGGGAGCAGGTTAAGAAGAGCTGACTGTGGCGGTCAGGACACCTTCATGGAAAATTACTTCACCAGCCAGCGAGACCACATCTTCCATAACGCAGAGGTTTTGATTTACGTGTTTGACGTGGAGAGCCGTGAACTGGAAAAGGATATGCATTATTGCCAGTCATGTCTGGAGGCCATCCTCCAGAACTCTCCTGATGCCAACATCTTCTGCCTGGTGCACGAAATGGATCTGGTTCAGGAGGATCAGTGTGACCTGGTTTTTAAGGAGCGAGAGGAAGACCTGAGGAGTCTGTCTCACCTGCTGGAGTGTGCTTGTCTTTGAACATCCATCTGGGATGAGACGCTCTACAAAGCCTGGTCCAGCATCATCTACCAGCTAATTCCCAACGTTCAGCAGCTGGAGATGAACCTCAGGAATTTTGCCCAAATCATCGAGGCCGATGAAGTTCTGCTGTTCGAAAGAGCTACGTTCTTGGTGATTTCCCACTACCAGTGCAAAGAGCAGCGTGACATCCACCGCTTTGAGAAGATCAGCAACATCATCAAGCAGTTCAAGCTGAGCTGCAGTAAACTGGCCACTTCCTTTCAGAGCATGGAAGTTAGGAATTCCAACTTTGCAGCTTTTATGGACATCTTCACCTCAAACACGTATGTCACAGTGGTCATGTCAGATCCGTCCATCCCTTCTGCGGCCACCCTGATCAACATTCGCAATGCCAGGAAACACTTTGAGAAGTTGGAGAGAGTGAACGGCCCCAAGCACAGTCTCCTTATGAGTTGAATAGTCCCAAATGCTCTTTCTGAAAATGCTGAATTGCCTTTTTTGTTTGCATCCTTTAATTTTAATATTCATAATGTCGTGTGCTTAAAAGTGGGCTTTGAAGTGTGTGTTCCCTTCTCCTTTCATCTTTTTCCCCTGCTCTCCAGTCTTTAAACATTGGACACTACTTACCTACCCAGTAGAGCTTGAAGCTGGCTTTTCTGAGAAGATGGTATGGTGTAACACTAAAGTCGGTGGTTCATGTGTGTTCTGATTACCTGGTTATAATAGATATGCACATCAAAGCCTTTACCAGTATCTTCCTGTATTCCGTATCAGATTGCAAAGATGGAATGTCACTATTTTATCAGCAAGGTATTAAAAGGCATTTATAAACTCTTAAAAAATAAATGGAAGAGGGAAAGGCAGCAAAATCAGTGTCAGGGTGACAGCATAAGAAAGACTTAGCCAGCCGGTGCTGACTTTAGATGAATAGGGTCACTATCTAAGGAATATGGGTAGCCTCTAGAAGCTGAACCAGAAAAGTGTCCTCTCCTCTAACACCTCCAGAAGGAACACAGCACTGTTGACACCTTGATTTTAGCCCAGCAAAACCTGGGCTAAAGTCAGACTCCTAAACTCCAAAACTGTAAGATAACAAACTTGTGTTGTTTTAAGCCACTAAGTTTGCAGCAATTTATTGTAGAAGCTATAGAAAAACTAATGGGCCCCATCATGAATAATAAGTAGCAGGCATTTAGCACATGAGGAAACAAATTTTCATAGCTATCAGTGAATAAGGATTGTACTGATAGGTAACTCAGAGCAAATAGAAGTACAATAACTAAAAGTTTTCTGTAAACTGTAAAAAGTACTCTAAAAAATGTACCAGTAATTCCGATGCAGACTATGTAAAGACAAGAATGATACGGGCACTTTCTCTAGGGAAGCAACTAATAGTTTAAGTTCAGAACCACATTGAATATCATTTAAAGTTTTGCACATATTCCAAGACAGTAAAATCTCATGCTTAAGCACATAGGAGCTGAGACCAGAATATTTAGTCTGTCAGCCATTTGTCTGTCGACCTTGGGCATAACCACTAGAAGCTTGGGCTTACTTATAAATAACAAATGACTAGGTACAGTGTAAAGTGTTTTTACATTAAATTAACCCACTTAATTCTCATCACTTCATGAGGTTGATACTATATTGTCTTTTATTTATAAGTAAGCCCAAGCTTCGAGTGGTTGTGCCCAAGTTCAATAGAACAAACGGTGATGAGAATTAAGTGGGTTAATTTAATACAAGAACACTTAACACTATACCTAGTATATAATAAGCATTCAATACATGTCATCTATTTATATTATACATACATACTTAATGGAATTCTCATTTCAAATGTTGGCACTTTGAACACGTTATTTTGTTGTTCTTATAAAGACCCAATTAAACAATTGTTCCTGGGATGCTCTCATGTTGGAATTGGGTGGCTCTATAGAAGAATCATAGTCAGTATTCAGTTACCACACAGTAGGAAAAGCCAAGTAAGCATTGCTGCTGGCAGAATTTAGTCTTAATGAGGGATATTTCTGCCTGGGTGAGCCACATATTATAGCAGCATCTGGAACTAGTGTCTGTACCCAGCGGGTATCTACGGACACCAATGACTCCCACTCCTGCTATAAGAGAGAAAAGAATTGAAATCAACTGAAAGGAAGGCTTCAGAAACACCTGCCGTTCTTGGCATCACTAAGTCTAAAGAATCGCTAAATTACTTCCCTATGCAGAATCACAGATGCTAGTAACTTGCACCTGTGCTTGTGTGTGTCCGCTGGGGGGTGTGGAACAGCAGAGAGAAACAGAAACATCAAAGGAAAAAGAGAGGCTCTTTCTCAGAAGTATGGTCACTTATAGACCATCACTCATATGGACCACAGACAATCCACAGAGCCATATGGGGAACTACAGTCTTCACCAAACAATACATTTCTCAACTGCAGAAAATTTCTTCATTGTTGGGTCCCACATAGAATATTTGTTGTTTGTCCCACAACAAATATGTACTGAATTAAGCTGGAAGAATTAAATACTATAAAATACAAAGTTATGAGATTTGTGGCAGGATAATTTACTAAGATATGTGGTACTTTTACCATTGCAGAAGAATCAGAAAGAAATAGATATATAACACTCGTCCTCAGGGAGAAGAATCCTGAAATCCAGAGATCTCCACAAGATAAACAAGCTGCTTTGTTGTTAAAAGCCAAGGCTCACAAAGGCAAAGAGCTAACATCTCTGTATAGGGTGAAGAATACAACCCTGAGATCTCCAGCCACAAAGGAGTATCCTAAGCCAAATGAAGAGGGTTGGGGATTTGGAGGAGATTCATGAGAGCAGAATGGCCAAGAGACAGGACATCTGTCCAGGTGAACTGTAGATTTTGGAAACTCTCCACATGAAGAGCCGTGATGTTGAGAGCTGTGGCTTTGGGGCCACAGGTTAAAGCTCCTTGGTACAGCAGAATGGAGAAGACAGATCCACATCGCCTAATCAGTGGATGTTTCATTTGGAGCTATGATAAATTAAAGATGGCCCTTCATTTTGGGGTACCATTGAAATCTCTAGATTCCTTGTGGAATCCTAGGAAAATAAGATAGTGAAAGGAATGCAAAGAAAAGTTTGCAAAGACTCATTTAATTTCACCTGGAGAAACAAAAATATGTCATGCTTCTTGCCCATATAGTTGTAGGGCAAAATTCATTCATGTTACATATGCATGATAAGAGATAGAAGGACTACATTAAATATTAAAGCAGTTCTCTCTGTGCATTCTTATTATAATATCCATTTTTCCTTATACTCATATACACATATGTATTTTTTAAAGCTATCTTTAAAAATAAAAGTATAAAATTTTCACCTTCCTACCCATGACTTACCAGATGGCACAATAATTTTTCCTGGGAACAAGTCTTTTGAACAAAGTCACAAACTTTGTGACTGGTTTTGGCTTTTGAGAAACTGGAGAAACTATGATATTCAAAGACACACTCTGGCTCTTAGAGAGCATCCATCTTTGAAAACCTCTCGCTAGTGGTCTGTTCCAGCACACATAATGATTTTGTTGGATGTTAAAAGAATGTAACATTCTTCAAGAAACAAACAAACAAACAAAACCAACTCTCTTTTCTGGCAACATCAAGTCACTGAAGTGACTGAAATTAGAAACATCATTGTGAGGTTCTACGGGAGAGATTTTGCTGTTGTTTTTATTTAATATTTACCATTTCTAATATTCTTCATGTAAATCAAGATTTCTATCTGGTAATATTTTATTTCTGCCCAAAAAACTTTCTACAAGGAGAATATTCTCCTACATACTCAGTAAAGTCATCAAAATCATAAAATTAATTCTAATATGCTACTACCATCTAATCCTTCAACCCAATTGCTCCAGTTAATTCCTTTATAGCAAAAGGATACAGCTGCAGTATCAGGAATTACATTTGTTCCCATAGCTTTTTCACCTTTTTCTGTCTGAAACAGTTTCTCAGGCTCTTCTTGTCTTTGATACTTTTGAAGATAATAGGCCAGGTTTTTTGTGTGCTTTATGTTTGCACTTAACTTTCTTAAAAATTTATTTATTGTAAGTTCTGGGGTACATGTGCAGAAGACACATTTATTGGGGCACTGTTCACAATAGCAAAGACTTGGAACCAGTTTTTTTTTTAATTGTGGTAAAGAAAATACATAACCTTAAATTTGGCATATGGTAAAGTATTTTAAATAAGTTTATAAATTTCCTAAACTAAGTTCTACTTGATTTAAGGTAGGTATCATGTCTTATTTCTGTATCTCTTAAGCCTAACAAGGTCCCTGGAATATGATGGGTTTTTAGTAAATATTTCTTGAATGAATGAATGAATGATATCAACCCATTTCATAGGTGGGTGCTGGCTTAAGACAACTGTTCTTTTATTATCTAGATTTGTTCCTTTATTCATCTCTCAAAAAATGGTCTTTGACCACCTGCTTCTATGCTGACTTTGTCAATAAGACATGGTTCTTAACCTGCAGAGACAGCTATAGAGAAACCATGACAACGCAATGACTAAGAGCTATAAGATATGCAGTGGGGAGCTTATAACTAAATAAACTGCTGTCCAGCCTGGAAAAGGGAGTGATTCATCCTGCCTAAAAAAAAAAAAAAAATCAAGAATAATGTCTCAGAAGAAGTAGCAATTGATATGACTCTTGAGAGATGAGTACATTTTTGAAATCAATGGGGAGGACAGAGACTTTGAAGAGCACGTTCTGCATTATCTAGTACAATCCTGTGCCTTCCATTGTAACTCAGTATCATTGGCTGATGAACAACACTGAAATGACTAACCGGTAACTTGATTGAAACTGAATCCCAATTCTTGTTTATTCCACACTGTTTCAGTTAATTTGGTGCCCTCTGCAGATCTCTCTCTGCATATGGCTATATTTCATGAGGTCACATCCTTGCAAAGCATAAAAGCTGACTCACATCCTTTGTGTGAGTCCTAACATCTGTGGTTTTATTTAATTTCACTGTAATCTTCCAAACTGAGATTTCTTTGTAATAATCAGATAGTCTGTAAGAATGCTCGAATAGACTTGTTGCCTTAAGAGTAGGTGTGATTTTATTGATTTTTTAATAATGCTTGTAATTGTTCCAGTTTGTTGGAGCCTTTTTCTTTCCTTGCTTTTGTATTTTTTAATTGCTTTATCTCTCACACAAAAAAAATTATGTTTGTGGCTTGTTGATCTTTTCCTTCATTAAGAATGTATGTTGCAAGACAGGTTTGGCATAGAAAGGCAAAACTGTATTATCAAAAATTTCATTATGCCCTCTGATATATGCTTCTCTTTCATAAAAATACAGCAAAATGCCTTTGTCCTTCACTTCATGAATAATTGTACTCTTCCAAAGAGGAAAAAAACAATCTGTTATGTTCAACACTTTCATTCCAATGCTGTGTTATTAGTGTTTGGGAAGAACACATTTTAACTCGGTTATTTGATCCTCTTTGTCCTTTTTAGTGCTTCTGCATTATCATCTGTGTTTTAAGAAATGAAATGAGAAGCCACTCAAGGTCAATGCAAAAACCATGAGGAGGAGCATCCCTTCCCAGGCATGCATCAATTCAGCAAACATTTGAGCACAAACACACTGGCAAGGAGGTTGTCAATTACTGGAAATAAATACAGAACAAAATCCAGGGTTCCTAATGCTAACGCTGAGTGAAATTACAGAGGGGAATGAGGCTCATCAAACCCTTCAGTTGTGATGCTGCACAGCAATTAGGTTCCCACCAGGGGCTCTGGAATCACACAAGTGTGGGCTCTACTCTCAGTTTTGC